GAGGAACAATTGCACTGTATATTTAAAAAAATAGCCACATCTTTACAGAAATCCGAGGGAATTAGCTGGGTTAACTTGGAATTAATTTGAGAGAATCTGGATTAAAATCACGAGAAAAAGAAATAACAGCAGTACTCTTACTGGGTGTTCACTACTAACCATCACCCAAGAATAAGATATGGATCATACTTTCCTAAAATAAACTGCAAATTCTCCAAGGTGGCATACAGGAACAATGAAGAAGAGAACTTCAATTATATTGACACTATTAGAAAAGAAACTCTGGATGCATGTTTTAAGAGGAAATTTCTGTCTTTTGTTGTTTATAACTGTCTCTGAGAGTAAAGGAAGGCGCAACGGGATCAACCATCCTTGATCAGATGATGATCAGTACAGATGGGCAAACTGGAAGTTGTGGGAAAGTGATTGCATAGTGCTGGATTTCTTTATATAAAGACAAGGACAGTCAATCTCTGACTGGCCGTCAACTTTCCAATCATCTAGGAAACCATAGGGAGCTATCCACTGATGTCTGGAAGGTGCATGAATGAATGTTTTTCACCTGCTATTTGGGGAGGCTTTGGGAAGGAAACAGAAGCAGAATATCTCTGAACACTCCTTAACACATGCACATCCTCAAACCCATCACTTCCCTCCAGATTTCAGCCACCCAAACTACAGATGAGTATAATCTTATACAGAAAACAGATTTTAACAAATTCGGAACAGTGAGAAATACGATTCCATGGCACATTAATGGGAAAAGAAGCTTTTGAGGGCTGGATTAGAATGTTCTAAAACAGGAAATATGGAAGGGACATTATATAACCGTTCCAACAAGAGCAGGATGGAAGACTGCCCCAAAAAATTCCAATATGGCTATACAAAAAAAATTAGCAAAAAATCATGGAAAACACATACAGAATATCTAATAGGATACATATAGATAGCCCAGAACTAGAAAGATGGCATCAGGGAAGGAGGAAAAATCTCCAGTCAAGCTACAATGTCAACATAGCAGAATGGCTACTGATAACAAAGAAAAAGTAGAACTCCTGTTTTGTCTCAGTCTTCCCTAGAGAAACACCTTCCATCAAGTATCTGTGAAGGCCAGCAGGATTCCCATTCAACCCTGACAGAAATGAAATCAGTGAATATTTGCTGACCTTGGATGAGTTCAGATCTCCAAGCCAAAGGAATTCTGTCTTAGAATCTGAAAAGAAATTTGCTGATCACTTGACCAACCTCTGTTTATGATCTCTGAGAAATCCTGAAGAGTGGAGGACATATCAGATGAACTTGACATTAAAGGTAAATGTTGTTCCTATTGTCAAAACAGGGAGAAAGAATGATCCAGAGAACTATTGGTCACATTGCCAGACAGAGAACTATTATATTTTAATTGGGTAATTTCCTTAGCAGATTGTGGCAATGGGATAGACATAACAACTTCAGCAATACTATCGGACAAAGTATCCCATGTCATTTTGATTAGCAAACTAATTAAGCAGGGGCTAGATGATGTGTCTACAGTTGGCCCGTAAACTATTAACTCAATAATAATTCCTAATTAAAGTGTAGTTAGGTATTGAAGGGGTACCGTGGGTGTTGCTCCTGAATCTTCAATAACTTAGATAAGGAAGAATGTTTATCAAATTTGCCGGGGACAAACTAGGTTGGACAGCTCATATTCCAGAAGACAGACAAAATTCAGAAATGATTTTCATATATTAGAGAATGGGATTGATGTAGCAGATTGGAATTTAATATAAACAAATGCAAAATTATTTAAGAAAAAGAAGTACATACAGCCATAAGACAGGGATATCGGACTTGTTAATAATACGTCTCTAGGAAGTGTAGTTGATGACAAAATGAAAGAAGTATGCTAACAGAAATTTCTAAATCACAAGAAATAATAGTTCTACTATTGGTCAGTTCCCTCCCCCCCTTAAATTGCAGGTATCTTTCTAGAAGATATAAGATAAGAATATCTTATAAGAATATCTTATAAGAATATGAATGTTCTTCCTTTCCTGAACTGAGGAAGAATATGCAGCTCAGGAAGTACGGTGGTCCTCAACGTACGACCACAACTGATTCCGAAATTTCCATGGCTAAGCGAGACAGTTGTTCACTGAGTTTTGCCCCATTTTATGACCTTTCTTGGCACAATCATTAAGTAAATCACTGCAGTTGCTAAGTTAGTAACACGCTGAATCTGGCTTCTCCATTGTCTTTGCTTGGCAGAAGGTCGCAAAAGGAGGTCGCATCACCCCAGGATACTACAGCCCTCATAGATACGAGTTGCCACGGTCTGAATTTTGATCACGTGGCCACAGGGATACTGCAACAGTCCTGAGGGACAACAGTCATTTTTTTCAATGCTGTTGTAACTTCGAACGGTCACCAAACAAGTTGTTGTAAATTGAGGACTACATGTACTCTCTTCCTTCTAAACCAGTGGTTCTCAACCTTTTTAATGCCGCGACCCCCCACCGGTCGTAAGTTAAGGACTACCCAACCGGTCGTAAGTCGAGACTAACCAACCGGTCGTAAGTTGAGGACTTTCCCTGCCCAGGAGCGCCACGCATGCGTGGTGCTGCCCCCTGCGCCAGCCGAAGCGTAGCAGAATGGGACTTTTGGCGGGCTCAGCAGGGCAGAGACAGCCTGGACAATTCCTATTGGCTTTTGAAAGCCAATAGAATTAGACTCTATTCAAGAGAATCTATTCTATTGGCTTTCAAAAGCCAATAGAATAAAAGGGAGTAGCACAGCTAAGGAAAAGGGGGAAAAAATGGCAGACTGCTTTGTTTGGCAACCCCCGTGAAATGGTCATTCGACCCCAAATGGGGTCCCGACCCACAGGTTGAGAACAGCTGTTCTAAACGATTCAAAATTGATGTCTAATTTCTTGTACCCACACTGAGGAACTAGAAAGGCAGTTTACACTGCCTGTTTATGGAAAGAGAAGGGCTCTCCTGATCCAGTCTGAAAATCCATGCCAAATCCAAAATTCACTTGAAGCCCCAAAGTAAATGGGCCCTGCTTAAGAGAGGCATGTCTGCTCTTGGAAGTGCTCAGCTCCTAGCCCTCGAGCAAGGGACTTGCCCTTGGAAGAAATGATTAAGACATTGTGTGTGTGTGTGTGTGTGTGTGTGTGTGTGTGTGTTTTAAAATAAGGCGGCTCTGAACAGCTTAGCTTTGCTTGCAATAATGCAAGCACTGCACATGGCATCTCAAGTCTTTTCCAAACATGATGCTGATTGATTCATTCATAAACTTATCCTCTGCCCATTAAAAAAATAAATAAAATACCTCCAATCCATTGGCTTTTGGGCAACATAAACAACTCCTGCCCGTCCGTTTTGTAAAAATGAGTCACAAAGATGAAAGAAGTTAACTATTAATTTGTATGCAGAATGATACAAACCCCAGGACTCAGACACCCCATTTCTCCATTTGACCCCCAGCTTTCTCCCTAAATTGGAAAGGGTTTTGTGCTCTACCCCAGATACTCTGATATTATTTATTTGTTAAGTTATGGCTGTGTCTTCATCAGGGCTATATTGTGAAGAAACATCATTTGACTCTTGGCCAATTTTGACACATACATATTGGAAGACTGCTCTAAAACACTTCCCAAACATTGAGCGTTCTTTATATTTTTAAATTTCTCCCCATTTCTGTTACCAAATTTCTGAGACTTGATACAAGTGTCGGTCTCTTATTTCCTTTTACAATCCAGTCCACATAACTTTCTTAAAAAAGGGTTACAAAGAAAGCATTACGTATGAGGTTGTGATTCAAGGTTACCTAGTAAGCTTCATGCTATAAATGGACTGTAGACCAGCTCTTCCATTTCCAAATACAAATACTCAAAACTATGTGCCAAAACTCCACTCTAGTAAGGTAACTGGTTTCTGCAGTACTTTGACAAAAAACACATAACACTGGTAGTTGCGTAATACGAATGCCAGCTGAACATCAGGGCTGACAGAAAGATCACACAAACCACAAATTTGGTATCTTTTATTACCTTGTATTATGATAAAATAGGGTAAACCTAGATAAGCTATGGCAAACAATTCAATGTGGGAAACGTACCATGCTCAATGAAGTTAAAACAGTAAGTTTTCAATTAGTTACTATGCTGTATAAAAGATAACACTGATTTGGGGAAGACCATCTCAGGTCCATGACTATCTCAAATGGCTCCAGAGATCAAAAGAATCTTTCAAATTTACCCATTAGAGGATTTTTTTTTTCCTCCTAGCTACAGATAACGATCATCTTTCTCCAAATTTAAGAAGTAAATTGAGCTGTTCCATACAAGGATCAAGCAGGAATCAATCTTTCTACTGTCCTTGACTTTGAGGAGGAAAATATGGTTAACAAGTTAGAACAAAACCACTTGGGAGACTGATTGCTTCGCTTCCTCTAACCCCATTTCTAGAAGATGCCAAGCAAATTCCTAACCCTGGATATTCAGAGATGAACTCCAAAATCGACACTGACAAATGGAGGCTCTCCCCGGACGCTTTCATGTCAAAGCAAATGCCTCTTGGCGAGAATTTCAAGATTACCGATGGGGCGAGAATATGTCTGTAGAAGGAGATGACAGCCTGGATTATAATGTGCTGGGGGGGGGGGGAGCTGGGGTGAAATAATCCTGATGACTAGAGCCACTCGTAAAAAAGACAAATCTGCTTCGACGCTACATTCCTGGGAGAGCTGTAATTACAGAAACAGCTCCCAAGTGACATTGCCTCCAGGCCCTTGGGGGCTTACAAGAGCTGCATTAGTGAGGGATGTGTCATTAATCTCCCTTTAGTACTGTGTATTTGCTGGGCCAGGGGTGGAAGAATTTGAAGAAGGACACTGACTGCCAAGTGCGGCTACCGGGTTAAGGTCTTGCCTACTAACTGAAGAAACAGAATCTGGCCAGAGGGAGGCTGCAAAGGAAATCCAAAATAAAAAGAGGAAGGGGTCTTTCTTACCTTTGGCCCCAGAGGCCGAGGAGAAGCAGGGGGCAGAGCCAAAGAAGCAGCCAGGCTTGTCCCATCCTGGATGTCGGAAGTTCTGTCTCCACCAGCTGGTTCCTCTCCTTTAAGTGCCAGCCCAAATAAGATGGGGCAGTGGGTCGTCTCTCCTTCCCCTTCTACTGTTTGACTCTTGCCTTGTCACTGCAGGCTACTTTTTTGAGGACCTCCTCAACTGCCTCCCAGTGGAGAGTTTTCAGCTTTGGTTTTTCTGTTTATGTCAATTGGGGAGGAGGGGGGGGGGGCTGTTTTAATGTGACCACCGTTCCCAAAGATCTGCAAGTCTAACCTGCGGCGATCACCTCGGGCCTGCCTCCTCTCCTCTCCACCCGTCTCTTCCTTCTTCACCAGGGTGGCTGGTTTGCCAAGAGACGTCGGACGTTACAACCCCTTGCAGAATAGAGCAACAGGCTCCACGAAGCTTCTCGGAACTCCATGCGGACAGGTCCTTCTCCTCCGCCCCCATCTGAGCGCGCTGGGCGCAGAAGGAAGAAAAGGAGGCTGGCAATGATTTCCACCACCACCAAACCCCCCCCCCCGCCCTGCTATCTAAGTACACACCCTCTTTCTTTTGCAACTGGAGAAACCCCCCCCCCCACCCGACTGTGAAAATTACAGCAGGGCTGCAGCAGCTCTTGCTGGGCAGAGCAATCTGTCTGCAGGGGGCAAAGGTGGGGGGTCAGAAGGCACGTGCGGCCTTGGCAGCCCGACCCACGAGGCACCGGGGCTTCAGCCAGAGCAGCAATGCCCGTCCCACCGCGCGGAGCTCCTGGCGGCTGAGATGCCGGAAAGAAAGTGAACGAGGCAACTGGCGGCGGCTGTTTCTCGGACGGGACGGAAGCAAACCCTTTCCACGCGTAGCGTTCAACTACCGAGCCAGCGCCCCAAGCCCGAGTCCCGACACGCCCGTGCAGGGGCCCTCGGGCAGGCAGGCGGGCGAGCAGGCAGGCAGGCAAAGGACGGGTCGGGAAGCGTGTGCCAACCGCACTCCTCAAGACGTGCACATTTGCTTTGCACGCCACAGAAAGAGGCACGGGCGTCCCTTAACGTACTCCAGTGTCTTCAGCCGCAAATCTAAGCAGCGGCGAGGCCGGGCGCGCTCCTCCGTTTTGCAGAGCTGAGGAAGCAACGCTCCGGCTAAGGCGCTCGCCCGAGCAAAGCGCCGCGCTGAAAGGGGCGCTTCAGCCGCGCTCGTCTCTTGGCGCTTTCTTAAAGCCTGTTCGGAGAGACTCGCTCGCTCGTGAGCATGCAGGCCATTTAGCCAAAGCGGTCGCCAAAGTAGATTCTTTCTGCCTTGCAGATGCACGTTTATTAAACATCCGCCGCACTTTTCTGCCTCTGCATGCTACTCTTGTTCTTGTGCTGAGGACAAGCACGCCGGCTACTATTATGAACACCGGCGGCTTATACAGTTCAGGAATCAATTGTGGCTACGCCTTTTTTTCCCAGTGCAATTAATGGCACATAGTGAGCAGCACCTTTCTGTATTTAAGCGGCTAGGCGCATATATATCCAAACAGGTACACAATACAATAGAGGGTCCCTCTTGTTTGATTCCCTTGGACCTAGAGAATTATAGAGATGGAAAAACTGGTTTAAGCCATCAGGTCTAATCCCTCTTCAGCAACTGAAGCAGGAGCTTGGAAGACGCTTAGTCCAAGCTCTTGATCAAACAGGAAACCCTGTACCATTTCAGACAATAACACAGAATAACAGAGCTGGAAGGGATCTTGGAGGTCATCTGGCCCAACTCCCTGCACAAGCAGGAAGGTCTATATACCATTTCAGACAAGTGGCTGTCCAGTCTCTTCCTGAAAACCTCCAGTGATGGGGCACCCACAACAAGATTTGCCTACTTATTCTCTGTTGAAGGATAGAGGATGGCTTTTTGATGGAGAATGTTGCAAAAGATTGGATTAGATTGATTGCTTAATAAGAGGCTTTTACTCTTGGATTTCTCAGTGTGGTACCCAGCATACAGTATCAGTGCACCTGACATTTACTAATTCTTAAAATTATTTTAATTAAGGGAAAAACTAGAAAGCAAGTACAGGTATGTTGCAGAGTCCGGAGCCAGTTTTCAATATCAAAGTGTATCTATTTGCAAGAAAAGTATACACTGTAAACCACAGAGTTTGCGCTAGGTTGCAGCATGTTATTTATAAGGTTTATATTCTGCCATGATTAGGTAGGACTCTCTGTGGTTTACAAGATATAAAAATGACTAAACGTCCATCATAAACAAATTAAAACCACCTAAGCCAATTAAGCCAATTATAAGCAAGCCTTGAAATAATCAAACATAATGGATCAAAACATATGACATCATGTTGAATCCATAGGTAGATCAGTGGCTAATTCCAGATTGTAAATACTCTATGAAAGGGCTCAGTTTTTAGTATTTTCCTAAAAGGGATCAAGGAGGGGTCAGTCTAATTTCTACTGGAAGGCTGTTCCAAAAAGCCAGCACTGCTGCTCTTTCCCTCCCATTTATTCCCCTGGAAGGGAGAAATCAATCGTTTCTCCTGTGACTGATTTTTTTCCAATTCCACCTGGAGATAGCTAAGGGCAAAGCAATAAAGGGTTGTATGGGTTAAACCAACATTTTGGGTTCAGGTATCCAGAAGCCTTTTGGAAGCCAGTGCTGGCCTAAAGAACAGGTGTAATTTGCTTCCAGCTGCAATAGTATTTATATAGCTTCACAGTGATTTACAGCCCCTAAGCCAGGGGAGTCAAACTGCCGGCCCCATGGGCCAGATGCATCATGGTGAAACCACGCCCACCCCATTGCCGGCAATGGAAAAAAAGTCGCAATACGTCGCGACAGGTCACGTGACGTTGCGAGTTTGACACCCCTGCCCTAAGCAATTCACAGTGACAGCATATTGCCCCCAACAATCTGGGTTCTCAATATTACCAACCTCAGAAGTATGGAAAGCTGAGTTAACCTTGAGCCGGTCAAGATACAGTTAGCATAAGGGCCATTATATTTTGGACCCAGTTGTAGTTTCTGAGTGGTCTTTAAAGGCAGCTCCATGAACAGCATATTGCAATAGTCTCACTGGTAGTAAGGAGGATTTGGTTTAATATTCCTAGCTCCTCTTGCATAATGGGTGCCCCAAAAGAAGTGGGACAAAGATCCCATGGCCATGACTTCTAGCTGCTTTTCTAGCAGAAGCAATAAGTCCAAGAACACACCAAGTCTCAGACTTATTCTTTCAGAATTGTGTTCCCCCTTCAAGAGACACAGTAGACTAACAGCATCTCTCCTGTTTAGGTTTAGTTTCACCCTGTACCATTCCACCCATATCCTGACAGACTTCAGGCACACAGAGAACCTAGAATCATTCTTATCTATGAAAAAGGATGAGCAGGGGCAGCACAGAACTTACTTTACAAAACTACCCACAAAAAAAGGGGATAAAGCTAAGCCAACGTGATAAAGTGGCTCCGGAGGCTAAAGAAAATTGCTTGAAATAACTTTGCTAGCTTGTCATCTGGTAAATGAATATTAATAAATGAGTATTTATCCTAAGTCCCATTTTAAATGGCTATTTTGTAGGAATGGGGTGGTCAGAAGGCCAAATTTGTCTACTGTATTGACCCAACAAGTTTAGAAACCCATATCTTAACTATTCCATAAGAGAGATAAACCAGCACTATTTTCATTTCTACAATATAATCCAGGGGTCCCAAATCCCCGGTCTGCAGCTCACTACCGGACAGCGGCCTGTTTGGAACTGGACTATGCAAGCGTGCGCTTGAGTGTATACACACAACTCCACTCGCTTCTGTAATGGGTGCTTGCTATGCACAGCTACACTCGAGTGCATGAATTGAGCTGTGCATGCTCGCAGGTGCGTGTCAGCCACTCATACGGAACCATCCCCTCTTCCCCCTCCCCCATGCCAGGGCACCAAGGCGGGAAGGTTGGGGACTGCTGATATAACCTGCTGTCGAAATAATCAGCATTACTCTTAATAATAAAATAGCCTTACAAATGAATTTAATAGACTTATTCCCAAACTTAGATACCCATTCAAATGTTATTTAATACTTCAGAATGTCTTTTTGTCCACAGTCGGGATGCTTTCGGAAGAAGACTTAATAAATGTCTTATCTTTTCAGGATTGATAACGGTTTGAGGAATTTCAAGGTGCTTTTTTTTAAAACACATTTAATTGGTTTTTTAATTTTTAAGAAAAAGTACTCAGGACACACCATGGTGTTTGGATAATCAAACATTCAAAAGTGAAAACATATATAAACAACTCAACTCAATACATTCACTGTCCCCTCTCTATTTCCCTCAAATAGCATAATACGTTTACAATATTCCATTTCTAATTTAAATTAGAAGTCCAACATTGCCTTTTAATCGATTACACAATTTTAAATTTCTCTTTTCAGTCTGATTCTGGCTTTTTTTCTGTGCCAGGCAGGTTTCCATAACCAAGCTTTCCTTTCAGCCAGTAGATCTATCTTTGTTGCTTGCAGTGGCCTTTGAAAGGATAGGAGTCCCATCCTCTGCATTAGTCATCTATTTCTCTTATCCTTAAAGCATCATTGCTTTGTAGTTTCAAATCTCAGTCTTTGCTTCTTCTGTTCCTCAAAGTTACAGATGGAAAGTTTATAAGATAGAATAAGTTCCTCTTTTATCTCTGTTGATTCCTCTTCTAGTATGCTTTGATTTATAGAATAGTCAGATGTAGTCTGGACATCAGTTTGAATGTTTGAAGTGAGATTTCTGGATCTTAATTCTGTAGTAAACTCTTTATTGTAGTACATATTTCTGCAGTAGCCTCATAAAACTTTTCCAATATAAGTTTACAGTTTTTGTAACTGAGGTTTCTCCATTTTGATAGTAATTAAAAAGAGTCACTCTTTTCTTTCTTGTAGAGGCTATATTTAATAAAAGTTAGGCAGTGTCCACCCCCACAATTCCCACAGCTGCACAGCTTATCTTTTCTCTTCAAAAATAATTTGAAGGTCAGGTCTATTCTATCTTCAAAGAGTAACCAGAAGTTACAGTATTAAGTTTTCGCCACTAGATGTCCTCAGTAGGTTAAAAAAAGATCTTTTCCAGACACCATTTCCTTTTTTCTGTCTTTTAAAGTATAATGTGAAAAAAGAAATAATCTCCAGCATAAGATGATAGTACAGTTCTTAGAAAGAGAAAAAAAATTTCTGTACCCCCCAAAAATATGGAAATAAAATATAGTCTTTAGAATTTTGTTCTATTTTTATACAACGCCTTTCTTCCCAAATATGCAGAAGCTGCTTTTTCAAGCCAGGGAAATAATTCCAACAAGGCTTTTACAGGCACAGAAAACAAAATAGAGTTGAGAGAGTAGCAAGGAAAAGTCTCACCCGGATTCACCATGGGAGTTCTTACAGCTTAGATGTTCTTTGACTTGCGGTTTGAAGCGGTTCTCCGTCGGCTCTCAGAGATAGCTCGGACATGCTGCTCCTCCTCAGCCGAGCAAAGCCTCCTCGACAGAAGTCGCACC